TTGTTGCTTTAAAGTCTATTTTATCAGAGATGAGAATTGCAACTCCTGCTTTTTTTTGCTTTCCATTAGCTTGGTAAATCTTCCTCCATCCCTTTATTTTGAGCCTTTGTGTATCCTTGCATGTGAGATGGGTTTCCTGGATACAGCACACTGATGGGTTTTGGCTTTTTATCCAATTTGCCAGTCTGTGTCTTTTGATTGGTGCATTTAGTCCATTTACATTTAGGGTTAATATTGTTATGTGTGAATTTGATACTGCCATTTTGATTCTAAGTGGCTGTTTTGCCTGTTAGTTGTTGTAGATTCTTCATTATGTTGAAGCTCTTTAGCATTCAGTGTGATTTTGGAATGGCTGGTACTGATTGATCCTTTCTATGTGTAGTGCCTCTTTTAGGAGCTCTTGTAAAGCAGGCCTGGTGGTGACAAAATCTCTGAGTACTTGCTTGTTCGCAAAGGATTTTATTCTTCCTTCACTTCTGAAGCTCAGTTTGGCTGGATATGAAATTCTGGGTTGAAAGTTCTTTTCTTTAAGAATGTTGAATATTGGCCCCCACTCTCTTCTGGCTTGTAGTGTTTCTGCCGAGAGATCTGCTGTGAGTCTGATGGGCTTCCCTTTGTGGGTGACCTGACCTTTCTCTCTGGCTGCCCTTAGTATTCTCTCCTTTATTTCAACCCTGTTGAATCTGACGATTATGTGCCTTGGGGTTGCTCTTCTTGCGGAATATCTTTGTGGTGTTCTCTGTATTTCCTGCAATTGAGTGTTGGCTTGTCTTGCTAGGTGGGGGAAATTTTCCTGGATGATGTCCTGAAGAGTATTTTCCAGCTGGGATTCATTCTCTTCGTCCCCTTCTGGTACACCTATCAAACGTAGGTTAGGTCTTTTCACATAGTCCCACATTTCTTGGAGACTTTGTTCATTCCTTTTTGCGCTTTTTTCTCTTATCTTGGTTTCTCGTTTTATTTCATTGAGTTGGTCTTCGACTTCAGATATTCTTTCTTCTGCTTGGTCAATTCGGCTATTGAAACTTGCGTTTGCTTCGCGAAGTTCTCGTATTGTGTTTTTCAGCTCCTTTAATTCATTCATATTCCTCTCTAAGGTATCCATTCTTGTTATCATTTCCTCGAATCTTTTTTCAAATCTTTTTTCAAGGTTCTTAGTTTCTTTGCATTGATTTAATACATGATCTTTTAGCTCACAAAAGTTTCTCATTATCCATCTTCTGAAGTCTAATTCCGTCATTTCGTCACAGTCATTCTCCGTCCAGCTTTGTTCCCTTGCTGGTGAGGAGTTTTGGTCCTTTCTAGGAGGCGATGTGTTCTGGTTTCGGGTGTTTTCCTCCTTTTTCCGCTGGTTTCTTCCCATCTTTGTGGATTTGTCCGCTGGTCGTCTGCGTAGTTGCTGACTTTTCGTTTGGGTCTCTGAGTGGACACCCAGAATGTTGATGATGAAGTATTTCTGTTGCTTGGTTTTCCTTCTACCAGTCTAGCCCCTTCACTGTACGACTGTTGAGGTCCGCTCCAGACCCTGCTTGTCTGGGGTGCACCTCTAGTAGCCGTGGCACAGCGAGGGATGCTACCAGTTTCTTTTTCTGCTCTCTTTGTCCCAGGATGATGCCTGCCTAATGACAGTCTTTTGGATATAGAGGGGTCAGGGAGCTGCTTGAGGAGACAGTTTGTACTTTATAGGGGTTTAATTGCTGAGCTGTGCACTCTGTTGTTCATTCAGGGCTGTTAGGCTGTTATGTTTGATTCTGCTGCAACACAGCTCATTAAACAACCCTTTTTTTTTCTCAAATGCTCTGTGTTGAGGGGTTTGGGCTTTATTTTTGGATGTCCGATCAGGTGTCCTGCCCAGCTCAAAGGCAGACTAGCCACTGTTTGGCTGCCGAGGCTCCGCCCTGCTGTTGTGTGATTCGCGCTGTTCCTGCCGGCTCTGCTGTGGTCTCCGCCACGCCCTGCGGCGGAGTCTCTTCGTTGTAGCGTGTTGCCTCAGCAACGGCAGGCTGCGTCAGCAGTGGGCGTGTATCTCAGTAGGGACGGGTTGCCTCGGCAACGGCTGGCTGCGTCAGCAGTGGGCGTGTATCTCAGTTGGGGCGGGTTGCCTCGGCAACGGCTGGCTGCCTCAGCAGTGGGCGTGTATATCAGTTGGGGTAGGTTGCCTCCGTAGTGGTGGACGCCCCTCCCCCACAGAGCGTCTCGGACCGTCTGCCCGGGATAGTTTGAAATCGCGGTTTTGTTCGTCCCACTGGGTATCCCAAGCGATCTGTCCCTGCAATCCCCTGGGCTGGGCTACTGTGCAAGTCTCGTTCAGTCTCAAGTCCAGCCCTCTCAAGTCTCAGGTTGCCGGTTCAACAAGGCACCCGGACAAGCGCGCCCTGTGGGGATTGCTGGGTAGGGCCGGCCGCCGCCGCCCCGGCTGCCGGCTTCGCCAGGCAGACCTACTGCCTGGCGTCCCGTGTCTTTTTATACTTGGGAGTTTCCCCGTTCTGTGGGCAACAAAGATCAGTCTGGAAATGCAGCACTGACTCACCGTTTGCGAATTCAACGCGGGCTCCAATCCTGGGTTGTTCTCACAGCGCCATCTTGAGTCCCAGGACAGTTTTTGTTTTTTTTTTTTTTTTTTTTTTTTGAGACAGAGTTTCGCTTTTGTTACCCAGGCTGGAGTGCAATGGCGCGATCTTGGCTCACTGCAACCTCCACCTCCTGGGTTCAGGCAATTCTCCTGCCTCAGCCTCCTGAGTAGCTGGGATTACAGGCATGTGCCACCGTGCCCAGCTAATTTTTTGTATTTTTTTTTTAGTAGAGATGGGGTTTCACCATGTTGACCAGGATGGTCTCGATCTCTTGACCTCATGATCCCTCAATTTAGTTTTAAGGATACACATAGGTGAAGGGATGGAAAGTGAAGGGATGGAAAAAGATATTCCATGCAAATGATAACGAAGACAGAGTAGGGGTGACCATACTTACGTTAGACAAAATGGATATTGAGTCAAAAACTAAGCTGGGCATGGTGGTGCACACTGATAGCACCAGCCACTTGGATAGCTGACAGGAGAATCACTTGAGCCCAGGAGTTCAAGGCTGTAGTGCACTATTATCATATCTACGAGTGGCCACTGCACTCCAGCATGGGCAACATAGCAAGCCCCCGTCTTAAAACACATACACACACACAGACACACAAACACACACACCCTGCAAAACTGTCACGATTCAAAGAAGCTCATTATGTAATGATAAAGGGGTCAATTCAAGAGGATATAAAAACCGAAAATGTGTGTGCACTCAACATTGGAACACCTAAATGTATAAAGCAAATATTAACCAAATTGAAGGGACAAGTATACAGCAATACAATATTAGTAGGGGACCTCAAAACCTCAGTTTCAACAATGGATAGAGCATTCAAATGACATCAATATGGAAACGGTGGACTTGAACAACACTAAAGACATGAACACTTCATCCAATGGCAGCAGAATACACGTTCTTTTCAAGTGCACCTGGAACATTCTCCAGGATAGGTCATATATTAGGCCACAAAACAAGTCTTAAACAATTTAAGAACATGTAAATCATACCAAGTATCTTTTCTGGCCACAGTGTTATGAAACTAGAAGTCAATAACAAGAGGAAAACTGGAAAAGTCACAAATATGTGGAATTTAAACCACACATACCTGAATAACCAGTGAGTCAAAGAAAAAAATCAAAGGGGAAATTTAAAAACTTGAGACAAATAAAAATGGAAACACAACATATCAAAACATATGGAATGCAGTAAAAAGCAGTTCTAAGAGGGACGTTTATAGCAGTAAATACCTATGTTAAGAAAAAAAACCCTACTTTTATACCTCCAGAACTAGAAACAGAACAAACTAAATCCAAAGTCAACCGATGGAAGGAAATTATCAGAGCAGAAACAGATTAAATCAAGATTATAAAAATAATAGAAATGACTGATGAAACTGAGATGGGTTTTTGAAAAGATAAAGTTGATAAACCATTAGCTAGACTAAGAAAAAAAGAAGTCTCAGATTATGAAGTGACCCACAGGACATTATGCTAAGTGAAATAAGCCACACACAGAATGAAGTGTGCTGCATCATCTCTTATGTGCAGAATGTCAGGGGGAAAAAAAAGCTGACTAAATAAAAATAGAGTAGATAGGTGTTCACCAGAGGCAGGGAGGGCATGGGAATGGGGAGAAGTAAATCAAAAGGTACAAATTTGCCATTAGGTAGAATGAATAAGTCTACAGATGGAATGTGCAGCATGAGAACTAACTATAGTTAATAATGTTGTACACTGAAGATTTGCTAGGAGAGTAGGTTTTAGGTGCTGTCAACATATACATACACACAGATAACTGGGGGGGGGTGATGAATATGTAAATTTATTTAACTGCGGCAGTCATTTTACTAAGTATGTGTACATTAAACCATCGTATTGTACACCTCAATGTCAACTGCCTTCTTGGGAACACATAAAGACATAAGATAAGATTGCGTTAATACCATTTTGTTCTTTATGTATGTGTTTCATTGATTTTTACCTGAGAATGATCTATTATAGTAAAAATATGGCACATTTTCCACTTTAAAAAGGTTCCAAAATGTTAGCAAATCTTCCCTTACTCTCAGTTCTGCCATTTAGTACCTTGAGGAGGAGCTGATTTTTGACACCAGCACCTGTTTGAAACTGTGCTGTGTTATTCTACTATTTTACCACATGCTGTTTTGACAGATGATACGATTTACTCAAGAGTGTTTACCTCAGAGCTCTATTTTTCTATTTACTATGAAGTGCTTTTCAGCATTCCACAGTCACAAGTAAGTCTGGCACCTAGTAAGTCAGTCTAAATGTAAAAACTGCTATAATACTCGGTTTCAATTTCCTCACTATATTTTTATCAGTAGATTGTTATGTATTTAGAGGATAAAATTTCCTTCTGAAATATCTACAAATAAAAAATGTTTTCTGTATCACTTTTTAAAGGTTACAGTCTTCTTCATCCCTTGATGATTCCAGTCCAACAGATTTAATGAAAGCTACTCATACCATAAACTGCAGGAATGTAAGTATACTTGTAAACGATAATATTCATGAAATAAACGAACAATAAAATTTGCTCCTTGTTAATTATTTCTTTTAAGAAAAGAAGACATTATGTCAAAAAAAGAAGAAAATGAACTCATTTTGGCCACTCAGTGATGTTTAAGTGACTTTGCTGAATAGTAGTTAAGAGTGAAGTTGTTGGAAGCACATTATCTGAGTCCAAGTTATGACACTAAGTGGGATGTAACCTTGGGCTTGTTACTTAAACTTTCTGTGCCTCAATTTTCTCATTTGTGAAGTAGAAATAATAATATCACTGATCTCCTAGAGGAATGTAAGAATTAAGTGCTTAAATACACAACAAAAACTCTTTGAACAGTGCCAAGCACATAGTAAGTGCTCAATAAGTGGTAGCTCTTATTATTGTTATTAAATAGGTTCCAATTCAGCAGATTAAATGTACACCTTGAGCTTTGAAAAAAAGGTTAAAAATTAGAAGCCACAAGATAAATACATATACTACTTAATTCAGTTGAACAGATACTAGCTATTTGAAATGCATTATTGTATATACAAAAATTACTAAGCCTAGTGCTATTTGGAAGACCGAAATACAATATAATTCTAATTTAGCACAGACAACAAAAAGCTCTAAAGCAGGTATGTAAATCAAGCAGTGTAAGACTACAGGAGAAAAGAGAAATTTTATCTGACCAGAACAAACAGAAACTTGAAAATACAAATATCAGAGCTAGGCATGGTGGCTTGTGCCTATAATCTCAGCTACTCAAGAGACTTGAGGCAGGATGATCACTTGAGGCCAGGAGTTCAAGACCAGCCGGGGTAACATAATGAGACCTCCTTTCTAAAAAAGACTTTTTGAAAAACTAGCCAGGCATGGTGGTACATGCCTATAATCCCAGCTACTCCAGAGGCTGAGGCAAGAGGATCACTTGAGCCCAGAAGTTTGAGGCTGGAGTGAGCTATGATCACACCACTGCACTAGCCTGAGCAGCAGACTGCAACTGTGCAAAAGCAAAATACATATATATGTATACATATATATGTCATGTCTTTTTACATAAATATCATGTCTTCTACTTTATTATTCTTTTATTCCTACAGTTAGCACATGTTTATTGGGTATCCATTTTGTGCAAGGTAGCATGCGAGAAACAGATTTAGATTGTAGTAAAAATGCCTAAGTAGTGTACGTTATATAGGCATTCTATAGATAAAAGTATGTCAATAAGACAGTATAGGCAAATGATTTCCTATTTTATGAGCTACATGGATTATTAGATTGTTTGGCCTGTAACTGTATAACAGTATGAGAACTTTTCAGTAACAGCATTTGGTTTAATATTTCCCACTCCAAAGAAGTATTTCCCATAGTAGTTTTATATAAGATATAGTTTTGCCATCATTTTATAAAAACAGAAATAACTTTGACCCCAAGCATTTGTGGTCATGAACTTCTTCTTCTTCATCCAAAACTTTTCCTTACATATGTACCTTCAGTTATTTCTCTTAACAATGCAGGCTTTGGAGTCAGGTAGACTTGAGTTAGAATCATGGCTTCAACACCTTTGGCAAGATATTATCCTCTTTAGGCTTCAGATTCATGATCTGTAATATAGCTGCCTCACGGTATCTGAGAAATGAGATGAGACAATGCAGGTGGAGAGCTTGGCACATGGTACTAGGAAAAGTAAGCTTCCATACTGATGGTGGTAGTTGTGGCACTGACAGCAGGCCCTTGTCTGATAACTGCAAAAAGGTATTTATCTTATTCTAGTAGGAACCTCACTGTTTATTACTCTGGCTGTCTTTTCAGATGTCAAATAAGGAGTTGTTTCCACCAAGTCGTTCTGAAATGGGAGAGCTAGAGGCTACCAGGCGAAACCAGAGTACTGTTGCTATCCACAGCCATGAGCCACTTCTCAGTGAGTTTTCTTTAGGAACTGCTGAACATTTTGTTTTTCAAAACCGCCTTCATAATCATGTTTTTGGGCATAGGAATTTTCTAGAGAAGCAGATAGTTTTAAAACTAAGATTTTTCTCAGTTGAGCACAGTGACTCACACCTGTAATCCCAGCACTTTGGGAGGCCAAGGCAGGAGGATTGCTTGAGGTCAAAAGTTCAAACCAGCCTGGCACACATAGCAACACATCTCTACAAAAAAAAATTGTTTTAATTAGCTAGGCATGGTGGCTCATGCCTATAAAACTAGCGACTCAGGAGGCTGAGGCAGGAGGATTGCTTGAGCCTAGGAGTCAAGGCTGTAGTGAGCTGTAATTGTGCCACAACACTCCAGCCTGCATGACAGAGTGAGACCCTGTCTCAAAAAGAATAAGTAAATGAATAAATATTTTTTCTTTCAAAATTCTAAATAACAATAATTATACTGGATCTTAAAATGGATGCCACTTAATGGTCCTGTCATTAAGAATTCAGTTATCAATGGAATCAGCTATGAGTATTGGTAAATATACAATTTAAATAAAACCAAGGTATTTCTATCTAGAAAAAAAAGGTTTATTCTCCAGAATGACGAAGAATTTATAAAGGATACAAGTCATAAAATGTTTAAGATGTAATCATTCATTTTAACAATGTTTATGCAAAGTCCAGATCAAGTAAATTGAGTGACATGGTATTTTAGTCTGTTTTATGTTTCTATAACAGAATACCACAGATGGGGTAATTTGTAATAACACAAATTATTTGGTTCACAGTTCTTGGTACTGGGAAGTCCAAGAGCATAGTGCAGGCATCTTGTGAGGACCTTCATGCTTCATCTTACCATGGTGGAAGGCAGAAGGGCAAGAGAGTGTGAGAGCAAGAAAGCAAGACATGGCCAAACTCACTTTTATAACAAACCCACTCTTGAGATAACTAACCCACTCCCATTATAATGACAGTTCATTTATGAGGATATCCAAGTTCCTTCAAGTCCTCATGACCTAATTACCTCGTATCAGGCCTCAATTCTCAACATTATTGCATTGGGGATTAAGTTTCCAGCACATGAATTTGAGTGGACAAATTCAAACCATTGTATATAGTTTCATATCTTCCATGACTGACATTGCTCTGCTAAAGCATACACTAAAGAGAAGCAAAGGACTTGAAGGAACTTGGATATCCACTTTAAACACACATAGAACAATATATTTGTTATCTGAGGTTCCATTGTACTTTGACACATATATAAAACCTTTGGTCCTTCTTTATCTGCATTTTAACCCTTAATTTCTAAAACCTCTTATCTCTAAATTAATTATCATCTCCATGGTTCCTACGTATTTCTTTTTTCAATAGAAATCTGATTTACCTCCCTTTTATAAGAAAATTTTAAATTTTTAGAAGATGCTTTTGTCCCTGGCTTCTCATTTTAGTATTAAACAAATAGGGTTTTTTTAACAAGCGGATTAAATTCTCTCTTTCCAAGGGTTACACACACACATACACTCAGTCCCCTAGCTTCCTTCCAAGTCTCTGAGAATCTCTACCCTTTAGCAGTGTAATTTCCTGTTAGAGAACTCAAAGATAGCTTACTTCTTTGTAGCAGATGAATTAGGTGCAATTTATCTGACAGAGATTGTTATAAAACTAGGTAACCCATTTAAAAATATATCAGCCTTCTGCAGCTTAAGATATACACTTTGCCTTCAAAAATACGTTGTATGGTATTCTAGCCTTGCTTTGCCATTTTTTATAACAATCATTCTTTAACCTCTAAATGTGTGAAATGTATGACTTTACTGATTACCTTTACTTACACAGGCCTGTATTTTAATTCATAGGTGATGGTGCACAGTTGGATTTTGATGCCCTATGTGACAATGATGACACAGCCATGGCTGCATTTATGAATTACTTAGAAGCAGAAGGGGGCCTTGGAGACCCTGGGGACTTCAGTGACATTCAGTGGACCCTCTAACATTTGATTTTTGATTCCAAAAATGAAAAACATTTTAAAGCATTTCATTTATGAAAAACTGTCTGAACTATTCCTCAGTACTGTATTGATATTATTTATATCTTTTATTAACTATCTACCAATTTTTATAGATTTGCAATCTTACTGTCACAGGGATGTGGGGAAAAATGTTTTCCTCCAAAGAGAACCAGAGTTTATTATAGACTCCTTTATTCAGTGAAATGGCTTATAATCCACTAGTTGCCATATTTTTGCTAAAACGTTTCTAACCAAGAATACTACTTACATATTGTTTTGGCTTTGTTTTATTTTTGATGCAATTTTTTTGAGTCAAGATAATGTAATATATTGATATGTTTCCTTTGTGTCTAAGATTCATTTATAATAGTCGGTTTGTATGATTTGGAACATTTTCCGTTCCTTGCGAATTTCCTTAATGGAGGATAGGGCTTACACACTTTAAGAAAACAGTGAGTACTTGAACATTTAAAGGGACAGTGCAATTTATAGTCCTAATCACATTAAATACTGTATTTGGTCTTTGGAGACTTAGGCAAGCACAGAACCGGGATATTTATGCTCACTTGAGTGCTCTAAGATGAATTAAAAGTGAGATGATTTTTTTACTTAAAACTTAGAGAAGGTCAAAAGAGTTTCAGCTTTACTTACAGAAAAGGAAGGATCTTGGGCCCTAGATCTTGGGGATTAACCTTTGCATATAAGATTTAATAGGCCGGACGTGGTGGCTCACACCTGTAATCCCAGCACTTTGGGAGTCTGAGGCAGGCAGATCACTTGAGGTCAGGAGTTCAAGACCAGCCTGGCCAATATGGTGAAACACTATCTCTGCTAAAAATATAAATTAAAAAAAAAATTACCCAGGCATGGTGGCACATACCTGTAATCCCAGCTACTTGGGAGGCTAAGGTGAGAGGATCACTTGAACCTGGCGACAGAGGTTGCAGTGAGCCTTACCACTGCACTCCAGTCTGGGCAACAGAGTGAGACTTTGTTTCAAAAAAATTTTTTTACTTTTAATATAACCACTGAAGATTTCTATTATAGATAGAATAGGTTTTTGACATTGAAAACATACTTAAGGATAGATTCGTCCTAAAGGAAAAAAATTGATCTGGGCAGGTTAAATGTCTTGTGTAAAGTTACACATTAAATTCCTAGAGTTTTACATGTTTAATGTATATAAACCAGTTTCTTTATACACATTTGGGAAAACATTGGTCTCACTGGTTAAATGATTAACTAACGGACCCGGGAACTAGTTGTAGCTTTCTTGGTAATAGGCAATTACAGTTATTGCCTGTAACCAAAGGTAATTAAACAAATGACAAGTACACTTTTTAAATTATGAGACAATGAGAAATAATTTTAAACCCAATTTTCTAATTATAATTTAAAATTTGTAGAGCATTTTTAACAGTAATTAATCCAGAGGTGGCTCAAATTGAGTATAAGAATTAATATTATTTAAAATACTGCATGTCTACCTTGGGGATCATACTTTATAATACTTTCTGCTTCGGTAGTACTTCATAGCTTACCAAGTGTGCTCCCATATATTATTTTTTGTGCCTCACAAATGAAAGTCAGATAGGATGGGAACTAATGGGACAGCCCTCAGACTTCAATGTGGGGTTCAAATCCAGTTTCCTGTTCTATATGGTGCTCCATCTTTCCAACAAATTTCCCTTAGAGCCCCTCACCAAAACAAAGTATTATTTTGACCCTGCATGCTATTTCTTTAGCTGTAGGTGATAGATTAGAACTTCTGTCAGACATGTTAATGACAAACATATCAATAGACAATAACCACAAGCAAATGTTTCCTTCAAGTGTAAAATGTTGAGGGGCTGTGTGGGCAAGGGTGTATTGGTATATGGTGTCCCAGCAATGATGGAGGGTCAGCACCATTCCTTGTCCGACACTTGAGGACCTGAGAGACATCAGGTTTAAAATAAGTCAAAGAAATCCTACAAGATGGGGAGAATTGGTGTGCAGCAGCCTAAGCATTATAGTTAAGTCTAAAGAAGTATGAAAGATCCCATGTGTTCTCCAAATTGGGCAGAGGGGCCTGTGTACCAATATCACTTTTTAGGGGACTGAACCATTGCAGGTTGGACTTGGCTTCCAAAGAGTCAGCCTAAACCAGGGGTAGCAGGATAGGCCATCATGGCTGGATGGCCTCAAAAGAAGGGGCAGACCCTGTGATGCCAGGATTTGAAGTGCAGAGTTTCTGGAGGCAGACCAGTGCTGCCTCACACAGTGGCAGTTTTTTCTCTTTGCAAGAGAAGGCTGTTCTATTCCATAGATCAGGTGGGCAGATAGCCAGTTGAATCCTCTGTGCATGGTTTGATCCTTTACTGATTCACTCTAATATTTTTCTGTAGATCCTTTCATCCTGGACTCAGAATCTAATCCATGCATTGTATGATACCATAGCTCTCCCACGTTCAGAGTTTCCTTCAAAATGTTTTAGTTTTCTTCAGCTAAATTTGATTTTTGCTGTTGGAAGTGACATACTTTTATGGTATACACTATGTTACTTTTTTCTCCTACAAATCAATTTTTTGAATTTTGGTGAGAAAGAATGTATCAACAAATTGCATGAAAGTATCATAAAAACAGCACTCTAGACTTTTTTTTAACTCTAAGAATTACCACTACATTCATGTAGTGGAGTGGAAGAGTGCCTAGAATCAGAAAACCCTGTCGAGGCTGAATTTAGTTGTGTGACTTCAAGCCATTTAAACTCTCTGTGCCTCAGCTTCCTCATTTTTAGAAGAAGGTTTGATCTCTGTGTTTACTTGTAGCTCTGATTCTGGGATTCTGATCCACAGGACTCAGGCATTAGTGTGGAACCCAGAACTGTGCTGTCCAGTGTGGTAGCCACTAGCCACAAGTGGCTACTGAGCACTTGCAGTGCAGCTACTACAAAGTGAGGTGTGCTGTCAATGTAAGATACATACCAGATTTTGAAGACTAGTATTACCAAAAGAATATAAAATATCACATTAATAATTTTATATTAATTACATGTTCAAATGATATTTTGGATATACTGAGTTAAATAAAACATTAAAATTCTACTTGTATCTTTTCACTTTTTTAATGTGGCTAGAAGAAAACTTAAAATTACACATGTGGCTCAGATTATATTTCTATTGGACAGTGCTGCTCTAGAACATTATATTAAGTAGTAATTGAAGTAGACCAAAGTTTATACCATAAGGATATTTTTCTTTAAATACCATGTTTAAAGAACAATTATTTATTGATCCTTGAATCTGTAAGATCAAATAACTATGAGTCTCTATCCATGTTACCAAATTTAAACTTTTAAAAATAATAAACTTTAAAATATCAGATATTTTATTGCAGGATGATACTTGGAATCAAATGACATGAGTTATATGGTCATCATTAAATTTGGAAATCTATTGTGAAACAAAGACAAACAGGAAAGTACAGAATAGAGATTTTTAGTAAATAAATGGAATTAAAAGGGAAGTGTTTATTTACAGTGTCACAACAGGAAAGGATGTCTTTGTCATCATAGTCTTTGAGGGATCTCTGTAAAATGTGGGGCACAGGTACAAGAAATAGCCAATATTTAGTTACCAGACCATGTTTAGTAGTGTCCAGTTTCAGGTCATGCTGCAAAGAGGTATCTGCCCATCAGGTAGGTCATTGCTGGGCTCTGGAATGGGAGACTCGTACTTGCCCAGCACAATGTTGTGGACAGAGAGGCTGACATCTAGGATTAGCTAGAAGCCATAAAGAGAAACTGCTAAGTGGCCACTAGGTGCCACTTTTCCATTTTTAGAATGTTTTGTTTTCATTAGCAGATCATTTTTTTCCAAGCTCCATGGCACCTACAAGAGGCATTTGTGATTTTTGTGCCTACAGTAAGTCAGCCTGTCTGATGTGAGTTGTTTTATGAGAAATGCTTTCCAAGGAAGGTCTAGGAAGATCCTGACATGTAAGAACTTTGGTGTAGGGAGCTTTCTAGGTGCGGTGCCAATAAAAACTGACCTGGAAAGAAAACCTGTCCAGCACGGGATATGCTTTCTGAACTCACTTGAGAATGTATGGTGTACGTCACTTCTCATGTATTCTTGAGTTTAGATTTATCTTTTATACTTTTAGCTCTTTTCCATTTCACTTGCACTTGCCTGTATATTGGTATTTTTAAAATTCTGTGGTAAATAAGAGTGAAATTATATTTTATAATTACTCATTTGTAGTTTTTTCTAATTTAATGAATCTCCTTCAAAAAGTGTGCCCTTCCCTACTTTTTCAATAGATTAAGGAAACTATACAGGGCCCTCAAACCACTGGGCAGAGAGGTTCATTGAACTCTGTTACTATTTATGTTTCTTGGCGTGTTCACCAGGGTATACTAACTGCTGTAACAACTGCAAAGTCTCAGTGGTTTAACCAGTAAAGGTTTCCTTCTGCTCACATCAGACTCCAACGTCATTTGCCTTATCTGTCCCTCTGCCTCTCCCTCCCTCCCTCCCTCCCTTCCTGCCTCTTCCTCTTTCCATCTCTCAGCTTTGCTTTCCTCTGAGCTGGTTTTATCTTCTGGTGGACCCTCTCCCCATCATGGCACTCAGAAGTTCCAAGCATATATTGTTCTTATACCCGACAATTTCAGTGGAAAGAGAGCCTTTTTTTCCTAGTAATTCACACAAAATATGCATTGATTGGGCCTCGGGATCAACTTGGTCTACCTGGACTTTCCGTTGTGTGATTGCAGTACCTACACCAATTCTAGGGAGTCACCCATCATGGATTACAAGGTTCTGTTGTTCCTTCTGCAGATAACCCTTTCCTCTCTCTGGCCCCAGGCTGTCTGGCTGTTGGCATCTGACGTCTTTTCCTCTTTAGGGATGCCTTTAAAGTTCATTTTAATTTATTTAATTGAAATTAAAATGTTATAAAGGGAAGGCAAAATAAACAATAGATTCTTCCCAGGTCAGCAGGCTGGAAAATACAGATTGGCCAGGCTTTGATACATGCCTAACCTTGGGTTGAAGATTGGTAAGGCAGTCCTGTTGGAAACCCTTGAATAACGTGGGGATCTCCCATGGGAATCTTCCAAAACATAGGGCTCTCCTCTCCCCAGGTCTCCCACTGCCAACAGAAGAGGCTGTAAAGGTGAAGAGGACACCGATTTAACAAATTAGTATTACAGAAGTAGGATGGCAAGAACTTGAGGACCAATTGCATATCGGAAATGTTGAAGCAAAAGCAGTGAATAAGACTCAAGTCTCTGGCTTGGGGTTCTGGATTGCAGTGCTCTTCAAGAGGTAAGAGTTACATGAGGAGAGACAGCTTTGGGGTAGAAGGTGCATCGGTTCTAGACAAATTGTGTTCATCCAGGTGATGTCTAATAGTTGGATATGTGAGTATGGAGGTTGGGAGAGAAGTCTGAGATGGGCAGCACACTGAAGTTTTTAAGCCTCAGTTTCTTCATTTGTAAATATTCTGCAGAGTTTTAGTGAGGATTAAATTATCTTACATAAATTGCTTATCACATCTGACGTAGTCATTTTAACAGTGATCATGATATGTTAATTTATAAGCTCTACAGTATGATAATAAATGTTGGAGATTAGTGTTATAGAGAGCATCATCATTGTTAGTAAAAAATTCCTGAGACTATATAGCAAACAAATATATAAGTAGTATAACAGTAATTTAAGCTTTGCAAAAGTTTAACCCAAATAACAGTAGAAATTCATAACCAATGGGAAAGCATAAGTACCTAAAGAACCCAGTTAAGGTAAGGTGTTTGGGAAGATACATATATGCCGCACAAAGAGGTAAAGAATTTTGTTTGCTAAGACATCTGTAAGGCATTTTAAAAGAAAGTCGAATGGTTCCTAATAAATGCTACCATTTGTTTCCATTTAAGCACTTATTTATCCTGTGCTATGCCCTTAGAGACACTTGAAAACACCACAGTCCCTGCTCTTGAGAGACCACAGTTTAGTAGAAAGACAGTGGAAAGCAGTAACTACAGAATATGATACCTGCTACCTTAAAGGGATGTACAGAGTACTAATAGAGTATGGGAAGATCAGGCTTTAACTTTGCTTGTGAAGAATCCTCAAAATATGTTAAACTCTGGCAGTTTATCCAGACCAATGGTTCTCAAATTTAGTTGCATCGGAATTACCTGGACGACTTGTTAAAACACAGATTATGGGTCTCCTAATCCCCATACTTTCTGATTCAGTTGGTCTGACTTGGAGCTTGAGAATTTGCATTTCCAGTAAGTTGCCAGGTGGTGCTGAGGTGTCTGGTCTGGGGACCACACTTTGAGAACTGCTGATCTTGCCATTCACAAACAAGTGGATGTGTCCACAGACCTCTTATTCTAGGGCTGTTCTGAGGAAACTGGAGTAGGGTACAGAGGGCCTCAGAATGGACAGAACCTACTGCTTCTTTTGCCTTCTTTTTATAACATTTTAATTCTGATTAAATAAATCAAAATGAACTTTAAAGGTGTCTTTGAAGGGGAAAAGACGTCATAAATAACTCACAGACAGATAGCCTGGGGCCAGAGGGAGGAAGGGGTTGTCTGCAGAAGGGACCATAGAACCTTGTAATCTGTGATGGTTGACTCCCTGGAATTGGTGTTGGTACTGCAACCACACAACGACTCTTGCCCGCTGCCAAGATAGAACCGAATTTATCAAGACAGGGAAATTGCAATAAAGAGTTTAATGCCGCACAGAGCCAGGTAAATGGGAGACTGGAGTTTTATTGTTCCTCAAATCAGCCATCCCCAAAATTTGGAGGTGAGCGTTTGTTCAAGATAGTTTGGCAGGCAGAAGACTAGAGAATGGGGAATGCTAATTGGTCATGTTGGGGATGAAATCCTAGGGGGTCCAAGCTCTTTTTTTCTTGCTGTCTTCTTTTCCTGGATGGGATCGCAGAACTAGTTGAGCCAGATTAACCTTTTGGGTGACATCAGCTGGTCCATCAGAATGCAGGGTCTCAGAAACATCTCTGAACACCCGTGTTAGGTTTTATAATAGTGATGTTATCCAGAGGAGCAACTGTGGAGGTTAGGAATCTTGTGGCCTCTGGCTGCATGACTCCTGAGCCATAATTTCTAATCTTGTAAATAATTTGTTAGTTTTACAAAAGCAGTCTGGTCCCCAGGCAAAGAGTGGCTTTGTTTCAGGGAGGGGTGGTTATCATCTTTATTTCAAAGTTAAACTATAAACTAAATTCTTCCCAAAGTTCATTCAGCCTACACCAAGGAATGAATAAAGGCAGCTTGCAAGTTAGAAGCAAGATGGAGCCAGTTGGGTCAGATTTCTTTCACTGCCGTAATTTACCTATGTCATATTTTTCTCACTGTCATAATTTTTGCAAAGGGAGTTTCAGTATGTGAGCCTCAGTCATTTTGTTTGGCTGTTTTGGTTGTTTGTTGTTGAGGAGGGGAGGCAAGGCATAGGAAGCTGTGTCACCTTTTTAATCTTACTCTTGGCCACCTTTTTCTTTTTTTAATACTCAGCCACTAGTCACTGTGGAGGACTGTCCATTGCTTAAGACATTGGGTATTGAGAGAGGCAATAAAGAATTATCTTAAATTCTTGTCCAGCTGGGTGCCTCTGGCCTTGGAATTACAGTTTCTTAGGCACTCCTAGCTCTTGGCTGACTTTAAGGAAATGCTTCTCACATTTATTTCTGTCCGGGAGGAAATCTGTTACATTTTACCTTGGGGGTAAATATATCAAAACAAATTTACATTTTTTTTTTAGAAAACTACCCTAAAATGGGATGCCTAGATTATATAAACTTAAAGCTTAATAGAACCCTTGAAATTTTTATTTGATACTTTGTTGACTGACCAATAACCCAAAAGGCTTTCCATTTACCAGAAGGGACATGTAGACTAATATCAAATAATTAGTTGATTGTTAAATTATTTGGGAGCCCATAAATGTTCAATTTGATTTAGCAAAGGTCACGCAAAACCCAGTTACAGTGTCTGAAATATCTATTCTTGGGGGGGAAAATGGACACATAGATTATATGTAAAATAATTAAAACTTACAGGAGTAAAAAATTACTATTCTATTTCTTATAGTAACATTTAGTAGAAGACTGCATTTTTAATTGTTTTTCTGATTGTAAAAGAACTTTACATTCATTTTTGGAAAATTCAAGAATATATAAAGGTACTAAGAAGAAAATGAAAATGACCTATTAAAAAATTTTACCACCTAGTGAAAAACTATAGTCAAAACTTGGATATTCTTTCTCTTGTTTCAAGGCCTTTGTATCCTAATGACTTTTTTAAAGTTAGAATCCTACAAAAAATAATAATAAAATTGTACAAAGTAAAGTCAGATAGCATTTAAAGTAGTAAAATTACAAAAACAAAAAAATCGTTCCCACCTTAGCCCTAATTCTTGTTCTCCAGAGCAACCACTTGCCCTTTTGTTAGCTGATTATTGTATTTATAGTTATGTTTCTGAGGATGCTTTTATTGTCACTTCGTGATTTGCCCAGAATGAGTACAGAATAGGAAGCCAACGATTTATTTAAATAGTTCTTTATTATGGAGCATTTAGGATGTTGAAGAGTTTTACTATTGTGGGTAATATGACAGTTAACATCCTTCTACACCTACAGGTACTATACACGTCTTTTCTGTTGTTTAGGATGAATTTCTTGGAGTGTAATTGCCATAAAGACAGTTTGAATTAAGCATTCTTTCCAGAGGTAATTTTATGTGGTTAAATACGTTGATTTTTCTTACTTTATTTCGTTGTTTGTTTTTATGCTTAGGAGGGAAAATGTCTCCACCCCAAGATCAGATAAACACACACCTCAGTTTTCTTCTAGATGTCCTGTGGTTTTGTAGTTTATACTAAAGTCTTTGATCTAGCTGAAGTTTTTTTTGGCCTAGAATAAGATACAGGAGTCTATTTTTCTTTCCAAAATATTACCCCTTTCTCCACAACTCTTCAGTGACTAGTCCTTTCTTTCCCCACTGATTTGAATGTTGCCATTACCATCAATTAAGTTATTGTATATTCTGGTACTTGTTTTGAAAGGAAGTAGTGGTGGTGGTGAGCAGGGAGCTGAATTAATCTGATTGTCTGTTCTTTTACCACTACCAAAGTGTTTAAGTTAATAAACATAGTAGCATTTGATACTGATCTTTCCATTATGTGATTGTATATTACTTTTTCTTCTCTTAGTTTCTGAAAAGTGTTCAAAATATAAAATATATTTCTATATATTTGTTTA